TTTAATCCTTGGCCTTTTTTTAACATGTGCATATTGCAAATGTTACAGGTCCTGGAAGGCCACCTAAGAAAACGTCTTGTACATGGTGTGGCGAAAACAAACAACAATTAAAGTATGTGTTACCTACCCAACATGGAAAGAAAGAATTCTGTTCGGAAACATGCCTCTCAGAATTCCGAAAGGCATATATTAAGGTAATGTGTATTTTGCTGCTGATCATTTCATTTTACATTGTCCGAGACTACATACTGCAAATTCTTGGTGGTGTATGCTGAACTGCAATAAATGAAATAATTTGTTTTCGTAGGGTGCCTGCTTACAATGTGACAATGTAATCCGAGGTTCTCCTGTCCGTTTGGAGCAACAAGATGGTGCTACTAAAGACTTTTGCAGTACATTCTGTTTAAATAAACATGCTAAAAAGGAGCAAGCTGAACAGAAGAGAGGTGTGGTTAAAGGCTCTTTATTAATGATTGAATAAATTAAAAATGATGCTCTTAAATTTATTTTAAGAAAGTTTGAAAATCTTTTAGAGCAAATCAGGAAAGAATGTGAAAAGTTTAAGGCAGAATTTAAAAGTAAATTATAAGTAATTAAATACTGATAGATTGTTTATAGATTTTATGGAAAGTTATTTCAAATATACTAGTTCAGTATTTTCTAATCTTTTCCAAAACTAATATTACTACAGAACTTTTCCAAAATTTGATTTTTTCAGTAGCAAATACAGACCAAAGATCTGTTGGTTCTACTTCTGCATCTACAGCAATATCTGCATCTCCATCTATTATGCAATATGACCATTTCAACAGTACATTTGATTGGGATTCTTATTTAAAAGAAACGAACAGTATTGCTGCACCTCCTGATATATTCAAACAGGTTTGTAGTTTGTTCATTACAATAAAAATGCAAAAAGGTTTTAGTATTTTTAGTTTGTTTTCCTGTAGTTAATCACTATATTTTCTTTCTAAATATTGATAAGTATTTTGTAACTTGTTAATAGGTTTCAATATTTTTCAATGTAAAATAGTATTTAATCAATATTTAATTATGTTTATTTATATTACATTATTTGATTGTATTAAATGAGAGTTAAATTACAACAATGTAAGCTGAATTTAATGCAAGTGTGTTGGACAATGTACAAGCATTTACTATTATAAAATCTAATTATCAATTATTTATTTTCCAGCATATCATTCCTCCAACGAATGAGTTTAAAATTGGTATGAAATTGGAAGCTCTGGATCCCAGAAACTTAACATCTACTTGCATTGCATCCGTTGTAGGAATTTTAGGCCCTCGTCTTAGACTACGACTAGATGGAAGTGATAACAAGAATGACTTCTGGAGACTAGTAGATTCCAACGAAATACATCCTATTGGACATTGCGAGAAACATGGAGGAATGTTGCAACCTCCTTTAGGTAAAAGTTTGGTTGTCCAAGAAGTTATTATTGATAATTCTATGGTGGATTCTTCAGTGACAATAGATTGTGACCCAGTAGTTAGTCTGCGTGAGAGGTTCACAATAATAAGAAGCTCAAGAACCAAAAATTTATTTGCAGTGTCTATGGAGGGTCACATCAACGATTGATTTCTTTCATTACCAGAATGAAAAGAAAGTTATACTATCTTCAGCTTTGAAGTCGTAGACTTCCGCGGCCAGAGTCGTGTGTGATCTGGGCTGTCCGGGTGACACCGCGTCGAAACGTTGGCAACACAGCCTTCGACGCAGTGTCACCTGAACCGCCTAGATCACGTATCTTGAGCTTTCTCCTTTAATACAATTGGAGGGAATGGTGGAAAAGCTTTACTACCATGTTAGCACATTAAATGAAGTTCTGTTTATTTCTCCTGAGAAAATCTTCAGCAAAGACCCACTCTTTGCTAAATGCTATAATGTAACCAAATGCTACCCTGACATGAATATCAAATAACTACCACACTTATTATTATGCCTCAGATGTGTTAACTTGTACTTCAAACACACATTCTCCTTGAGAGCAATGTTCTGATTTGCAGGAGTGGCCTGAAATATGGCAAGTCATATTGCTGCTCATTTTCCTTGATTATAATGAGAAATTTGTCACCCAGCGCCAGTGATCTTCATTATTTAACACAATTGAGCTGCTCCTTCAGTCAGAATTTCTCTCTCAACAATGTTCTTGAACTTTCTCTGAAAAAATGTGGAAGTTGAAATATCAAATGTAATTCCCAAAGACCTTTAAGGTAGAATGTTTATGTCCGTTGCTAATCAAATACTCAACCATTCATTGCATGTAAAGATTAATAATAGCTGTTTGTAAGTGTTAATGGAGCTTTTGAAGAATTATTTGTAAGTAGTTTAAACGGGATTATGGAATTATTGATCTATAAAAACAATTTTTAATATTAAATTTTGTCTGCCACACTTTTCTTTCTGCATTGAATATCGATTCACATTGTTATATCGAAGTGAATTATCGTAAAATAGTTCGCGTGGGATACAAAATTATAAGGTAGGTAGCATGGATTGCAATTATGCCAGAAGAGAAATGGTGCACATTACCATTAGATATTCAGTCTAACTCATAGGCCAAGAGCCAATACTTCCAGTTGCAATGAATTTCACAGCATTTTTTTTTATTTTTAACATTTTCTTATCAGAATGCCCAGTGAGTTATATTACAATTAATATTGTTTGATTCCTAAAAAACTTATCTATGAATTGAATGAAAGAAGGTACTTTGCCCTCATAACTTCCTCAATAAATAAAAAACCTTACATCTACAAAGTTTTTCCACAAGACACTGTAATAATTAAAACTTGTGTTAAAAAATTTGGCCCTTACCAGCCTAATTTTTTTTCTTGCTGCCTTGGAAGAACGTATTTTACTTTCATTTAAAGTATTTTTGAGGTTCATGGTCAATTCACGGAACATAGTGTTAAAGTATTATTGTGGCATTCATAGTAAATGGCTTGGTCATGGGATCTGTAGGCTCCACAGTGTTTCAGCTGATTTACATAATTAATTAATTATATTATATTATAATTATTAATAATAATAAATAAAATTCAATTTGTTTAATTTTTTGTGAACTAATATCCTTTATGCGAGATTTCTACTTGCAAAGTGTCAGGGTCCTTGTGTATGAGACTAGCATTGACGTACGCTGAGTAACACTATGCTATATGAAAAGGCACAAGAGTGCTCTGGCTATTCTGTGTAAGATACTCTGTTAATCTATGATGCGTGTCAACACAACGCAAGTTTTTTATTAAAGAATGTTGTTTAATAAACCAAATACACATATAATTTCTTTCAATGTGTTTGTGAAAAAAAATGTTACTACTTTGATCTGGTATTTTTCTTGGAAAGATATCAGTAAGAGAAAATATGTATGAGGAAAAAATCAATTTTATAATGTTTTCTTAGTTGTATTGTTAAAATGTATATTTTATTGTTTTCCTCCAGGCTTTAGGATGAATGCGTCCTCATGGCCAATGTTTCTTCTAAAAACACTGAATGGTGCTGAGATGGCACCATCTAAAGTATTCAAAAAGGAACCGCCTACACCACGCTGTAATTCATTTCAAGTAGGCATGAAATTGGAAGCAATTGATAAAAAGAATCCACTTCTTATATGTGCAGCTACTGTGGGTAGGTTATTTGCTTTGTTTTTCTATATTCTACTGCAGATGTACATTCTTTTTTGTTAAAATAGCAATTAATTGCTTTATAATGCTTATTGCAGGAGCAGTGAAAGGAGAAATGATTCATGTTACATTTGATGGATGGAGAGGTGCATTTGATTATTGGTGTCGCTTTGACTCTAGAGATATTTTTCCTGTTGGGTGGTGTGCTAAAAGTGGTCATCCTCTACAACCTCCAGGCCAGAAAAGTAAATTGCTCCTTATTTCTGTAGTCTTTGTGAATAAAATATGAACTTATTTACCAAATTTCAAACAATCAAAATGTTCTCACTTTCAGCAGCCCATGGGTCAAGTCGATTTAAAGCCCGTGTGTGCAACATTCCTCCTCCATTGGCAGGAGGAGTAGGCTCAGGTGGGGGAAATGAGACCTCACAATTGTCTCCAAACAGCAATGGTACTAACAGAGGTATAGCAGAACATGAAGCTTCATCTGGAACTCACATTACTGTCACGGAACCTGATACTTCAAGTATGCAGAAGCAACCCTCAGCAGGTTTGGGACTTTAAATTTCTTATTGTATTCTTTGAATTGATGTTTTTCTGTAATGACTGCAAGCACTTGGTGCATAAATCATTTCTGACCTGCCAAACTAATTTTTTCCTTAATCCTTACACTGTCAACACATTCAGGTCTATCGTTGTTAAATGTCAAATTCTATATTCTGCTGTTTGCCCCCTCTACTACCTACTACCCCTTGTGACTTCAAACTCATTACAAACAAGTGTTTCATTTAAAAGCATCAGTTAAAACCTTAACTAAGAAGAATAGAAGTCTGTTATCTTTTGGTGAAAATAGAAATAATACCATATACGAAGCTGCCTTTGGATCTTTCATGTAAATGGTGAATTGACTTTTGGCAGAGCACACGTTAAAATACATCTTTGGAAACTATGAGAGAAAAATTGAAGGACTCGCGATTATGTGTGTAGTCTAAAAATAGTCCATACATGCAAGTTGTACCAAATGGCTGAACACTTTAAGGCAGAACATAGCACATTCTAGTAACTAAATGGAAAGGAAAGCATTTTTCCGTTGTATTTTTAATTTGAGTTACTGTTTATATAATTTCTATGTGTGAAGCCAGAACTGAAGTAGTTCTATGTATCCAGTATCTCTGCTAATTATATTTGTAAGAATATAATTACAAAATTATACTTAAATCAATAAGTATACAAGCTTTTGAAATATAATAATTCCAAATTTATATATAAACGAGATAGTAGACTACAGAGGAGATTAGGAAATACTTTTGAAATTGCTTGTACTCTCGTAGGATACCACATATTGGAAGAGCTGATTACATTCATCCACAACTCCACTGAACAAAATATTATTATTCTGTCTTGTGTGGTGATGGGTCATACCTGAATTTCTCAATACCCAATAACATTACCTGTCTGAGAGCTTCGAAACTCGATATCATACTACTTTTAAAGACTCTAGAACCAAAGTGGTTCGATCGAAATTGGAAGGATATATTTTGTGCTGCAGAAAATATATTTCGAGATTTCGACAGAAATACACTTTTTTTGGTCCCCTGATATCGAAAAATTGTTGATGGTGTTGTTTTTTCTTTTCTTTTTCTTTTACTTTTTCTTCTTCTTTTTCTTTTCTTCCAGAACTTCCTTCCGTCCATCAGGTGTCAAAAACACTACTAGCTCCTAATTTGTATATAGGATTTTTCCAAATTTAAGGAACCCCTGTTCATCAGTATCAAATTTAATCTGAGATGCCCTACTTTACATGAAGCCCATGGACAGTTTCAAAATTTTCTCAACAACGGCTCCAAATTTTTTCTTAAATTTCTTGTAAGAATAGAGTAAAATACACTTATAAACGTGGAATAGGTCCGAATTTAACACTAAATTTTCAAATGATTTAAAATTTTACGAGTCTTCCTACAACATCAAAATTAAAGATAGAGAATTTTCCTTAAATAAAATTTGTTCTTTCATTAAGGTCACATACATTTCTTTGAAATTTTTAGTAGTTTTCATGCTGTATTGTGTGCAATTCGTGCAATTTTAAAAATTACAAAAACAAGATTTTCTCAAACGGCTCAATTTTTTAAAAAATTTTTGATAGGGGTAATGCTAAATGTACGTAATAAGATGACATAAACACCATATTGCTGTATTCTTTTGTTTCTTCAAAAATTACAAAAATGTAATTTTTTGACTTGCCTCTCATGTCGTTAATATTTATGTTAGCAGCTATTTGTTCACTTTATTGCATGTATGAGTACATGTGCTTTAAATAATGTCATATAATGCCTCTCATGCCATTTTCTCATATATGGCTCCCAATTTTTTCTTCAAATATTTCGAATGAATAGTGGTAACTGCACTCTTTAATATGATGTAATGTTAATTTTGTTGTATTTTTTTGTTTTTTCAAAAATTACACAAATGTTAATGTTTTTAAACATCTCTTACACCGTTGATACATTTCCAGCAATTTTTAAATACTATTGTATTTATGTAATGTACTTAAAATAACTTCAAATTATGTTTTTTGAAAACTCAAAAATTTTCTGTGAAAAAGAGCTTCAAACTCCGAATTAAAGTATCACTTAAATGCCAGTTCTATAAAAATTGTTCCAAATTTTTCAAAGAAATTTGCTATTTTGGACGAAGGTTTACTGTTTTTATAAACTTAAAACTAGCGGACCCGACAGACTTCATCCTGTCCAAAAGATTTGTAATGTGACAGTTTTTTGTTCCTACATATTTTATAGTCTGGGCAAAAAATTATCCTGAACAGAACCGTCACCCTGGTGATAGGGCGTTTTGAATAAGAAATATAATGAAATAAAACATATTTAAGCATTTAAAAGTATGTAATCGCTTTATTGTTAATCACGTGAATCATAATTATTAACAAAAATCAGTTTTATTTTCATTGTAGTGCTTTGTGATATACAATGTTGTTTGTTTGATTACCTGGGGCATAGACAAACAAATCTGATGGTTTTCCAACACGGGAACAGGCAACATACATTTGACCATGTGAGAAATATGGGTTTTCCAGATTAATACCACAAACGCTTAATGATTGTCCCTGGGACTTGTTTATGGTCATAGCAAAAGCAAGCCGAACTGGAAACTGTAGTCG